GGCACAAATTTAATTTTTTGCTTAACTCTTTCCATTCCATTCTTTATCCTCAATTCCTCATGATATATTACAACATTGTCTTTTCTTACATGGGTTCATTTGCTTTCCAAAATTGCAGGTACATAAGAAGAAGGGACTTCATTATCCTGAACAGCAGCCACAATGCGACCGTTGCGATGTCTTTGGTTGATCAGGCGGCACTGGCGGCTAAGGGAGAGGAGAAGTAGGTACAATATGGACCTGGTATTCATGTCGTGAAGTATTATTTCACTTGACATTCTTATATCTTTATTTGTCAAATTGTTTCATTTTATTTGGAAAAAAAAAAAAATATGATGCAGATGAATGATTATGTAAAGTACGTAAAAGCTTTGTTATCTCTAAATATATCTTATGGTCCAAATCATCATTTCATAATGATAGTTTAAAAGCTGCAAGTTCTATTTAATATCTTGATTGTACAGAGTGGAACCTGAAGGTGTATAATGATCTTTAGTGGTTCTTTAGTGATGTCATGTTTATCTTCCGTGTTTTTTTTATGCTCTTTTAAAATCTGTGAATATTTATATTTCTTAATTGTACACCATTAATATATCATGTGTCAATGACAGAGAGTTTGCTTGACCCTGAAAAACTGAAGCCTGGTCATTTGGTTGGAGTAAACAAGGACATTTATCTTATGTTGGACATATTACCATCCGAGTATGATTGTTGTGTCAAAGCTACAAACGTTGATAATGAACCTATTGAAAACTTTAGCTCAAGCCGTTGAGGATGTGAAAACAAAATAAGAAATACCTGATATAAAGTCTGATCATATTGTCGAGCTGAAAAGTTATTTGTGTTTGGATTTCTTTCTTACTGATTGTTTTAAGCTGTTTGATAACATTAAAATTAAGATTTAAAATACCCACTCTATTGTTGTTAGGGATTAGACGAAGGAGTTCTTAAGCGGAGAGGGTAAAGAAGCCTTCCTCCACTGAGAATGGTCCGAAAAGCCGTCGATGGAATCTGGAGAAGGCGCCACTGCGGCCTGCGGTGGCTCTGCAGTCTAAGTTCAATCAGAGGGCGTCGAGAATCTGGTTCAGGGTTCAACAGATGTCGCAGAAAGTAGCTAAGCGGGCAAAATGTGAGTATGTTGAATTTGTTGATTTTTTTTTTTTAAAAAAAAATAAAATAAAAAGAGCAATCAAAGGGGTTGAGACCTAATGATTTTAATTTGTTGGTTCTACGCTAAGATGACAAAATTTTGGGTGTGTTTTCAGCTTCAGGATTGATCTGCTGTATGTATTAGAAAAACTGAGCAATTATTATGATTGTGAGCTTATTATTACAATTTTCTGGTTCTGTGCTTAGATGGAAAATGAGTACTTGATTATCGAGCATTGCTTGGTGGATTGTAAATATACATCGGACTATGCAGGAATTAGCTAAATAAGTTGGTTGACTGTGTTTTTTCTGTAGAATTTGTGGAGGCTGCTGGTCATATATATATATATATATATGTGTGTGTGTGTGTGTGTGTGTGTGGGGTGCTCTTTTTCTTCCTAGCACAATAGAATGGTAATATAATTTGGTAGCTTTATTGAACTCCTTTTACTTTCACTATAGCTTGAATATAAAACTCTTTTTAATCCAAAGAGTGATTTTTTTACAGCTTTATTTTTACGGTTTGAATGATGTTTGGGGGATTGTAACAGGTACCATTTGTTTCGAGAGGATGGGCACTTAGAATGATTGATATGTAAGTTAAGTTTTTTTATTTAAACTAGAATGTGCGTGTGGGGATTAGTTGAATTTGAATTTGGTATATTTAGAAGATTAGGCTATTGCGTGTGGGGATTAGTTGAGTTTGGGATTAGAATCGTTCTAAGTGCCCCATTCCTTCTCATTTATAATTTTTTATTAGAATTGGCAACATTGGGGATTGGAAGCTCATAATGATATTATATGGTTTGGTGATATGTTACTTTCACATGCTTTCATTTCGAGGTCAATTAGTTTCATTGGGTGTGTTTGTATACAAATATTGATGCTCAAAATGAGTTTCTTCTAGAGTTAATTCTGAAAAAATCGGTATGATTGGTTGTTAGTGAAATTTTGATTTTATATCAAAATAATATTTATAATTAATGTAGATTTTGATGCAAATGTATGAAAGAGATAATGTGAAGTAATAGTTAATATTATGTGAGTGAGTGAATAGTAAATTAAAGTTGATGTGATGTATAAGAATGATTGATTAATATTATGTAAATATATTGAATATATAGAAGATAGTGGAGTCATGTTAAAGTTGAGATAAATTTTAAATATGAATTGAGTTTTTTTTATATACAAACATGTCCTAATAATTGTGAATTAATTAATTGAATTAACAAATCAAAGTGCTGCCATTAATAAAGAAACACTCCACAAACCAAGTCTCCAATTAATATTAATACAAATCAAAGTGGTGAACAAAATTCTACCAATACAGGTCCATTAAAATAATTTATAAGTGTAGAGGATCACATTTCATTTTCAGGTGGAGGACAAAAATCTGAGAAGGAAGCTATCTGAACAGAGCCTCTTCGACACTGAAATTGCAGTTCTTGTTGATGACATTTTTGCACTATTGAAGGATATGGATTCTTGGTCTTTCCATGCTCCTTAATGGGGAGGTAGTTAACTTTGTTTTGTATTGTTGTGTATACTTTGTTTTGATTTTTGTTAATTGATTTGTGTGGCCTTGTTGGTCCTTTAGGGAAGCTAAGTGTAGTATTCTCTATTGGTTTCTTGGATAGGTTATGTCTAACTGAGGAACCGCATGTGTAACCCGTTGGTTATTTGACTGTACTTTTTTCGAGTTATATATATAATATTTGATGTTTGAGCGAAAAAAAAAGTGTAGAGGATTACAACCTAAACAATTTGAATTATATTTCTTTTCGCTACAAAACTAAAGTTTTGGAAGTGTTGAGGATCTCCATAGCTCTTCACGTATTGGGATGGTCAAAAATAATACGATGGTCAAAAACTTTCACTAGATACCAAAATTTTAAAAGCATCGCCGCTTTTCAAATACTAGTGATTAATTTCAGACAATGTCAACTTAACAGACATAATATATATAGAGAACTGCAACAATGAACCCCAACAATTGCCTATAAAGTTGCGTAATGGGGCCTTTATGATGAAAGTTTATTTTGTTAACAACCATTGTAAAGATTGGACATTAATTCGACTAATCATTTCAACTGATGATAAATTTTGTCTGTATTTTTAGACTAAATTTGAGCCCGCCGTGCATGCACGCCGTGAGAAAAATAAATGAAGCATTGAAAAAAAATTATATAAAAAATAAATAAAGCATTAAATACAATGAAAATGATAATTTAAATGTTAGAACAAACTTTCTACCCATAAAAAACTAAATTTATTGACGAGATTCACGCCGCTTATTTTCAGCTCAAAACATAGTGTGCTCTTTTAGATTTGTTTTTTTTTTTTTCAATCGGACCTTTGCGCTTATCTTTCCTGTCTGTAACGTTCTTATTTCTTCGTTTAT